GCCTTCCTTGAAGTTTCTCCACTTGGAGGACCCCTCTCCCAAGGTCCCACTGGTAGTCCTCCCCTCCCTCACGTCCCTCACCATCGACAAGTACTGCGACGTGAGTGCGCTGCTCTCCTCCCTCGCCGCCTTCTCCGCCCTCCACACGCTCCGCTTCAACTGCTTCTCACAGGTCGCGGCCGACAGAAAGCTCTCTCCGGGGCGAGTGGGACGCCCGCCGGCTCTCAGGGTGCTGCAGTTCAGATTCGCTCAGATCCACGCGCTGCCGGAGTTTGTGAGAGGCTTCACGAGCGTTGTTAGAGTTGATCTGATCAACTGTGGGCCTCTGGAGGTGTGGCCGGAGTTTTTGGCTAAGTTCCCGGCGTTCCACTGCTTGCGAGTGAGTGGGTGCTCAAAACTCCCCCCTCCTCCCCCTTCACTGGTTCCCCTGCTGGTGCCGGCCAGATAGGGGGTTGGGCTGTGACAAAGCTCGTGGCAACTGAATGGAGCAAATGAGGTGAACGTGCCATGGTGGTAGGGTTGAGGAGCAGGCCTCAGATTCACTTCTACATTGTGTTCCTACGCTTTGTATCAAGCAACCTCGTATCAGACTTGATAGTCTAGGGAATGATGGATTAGGTCAAGTGAGGGGTACAAGGAACCGCCGATGAGATTTATGTACCCCCTAAGGCTAATGTAAGGAATTGTAATTCCTTGCTGTATTCGCGCTTTAGCGAGTACAATTCCAGGGCTACGTGTCAGATGGTTCGGCCTACATTTCCGCAACCAAACCACTCCCGAGTCGCCCCCACTCCAATCGCAACACTTTCCCGAGCCATTCTCGCCAGACCTTTTCGCTTGTCTACCGTATCACCCCGGATAGTAGCGCATATGCGCTTATAATAAAATCATTTTTTAAGGGGGGCGCTTGTAATTGAATATCGGCCATAAGCGCCGGCGCTTGTATAATGACATATACATAAATACAGCTTAGACGCACCAAATTTTACATTTCAGTCTCGTAAGTTGAATTGAATCGAAATTTTACAGCGTCCAGAAACAGAATCGCGCGAGGGCGATTCTCTGACGGTGCACTGCACAGAGCTTTGGCCATGGCCTATTTTTGGATTTTAGGTACTCTAATTTCCAGATTAGTTTTTTTCCCAACTCTGAAATCTAGGGTTGTTCCTTCGCCTTACTATGATTTGTCAGAGCAACCCTATACTTAAAAAAAAAAACCCAGGCACGTCAGAGTTGTTGGGCTGATGCCCCTTAGGATCTTTGGTAGGGTTAAACTCTGGGTAGAGTGATGTAGTAGCGGAAGCGTTTTAAATGAAGTCCTTGAACCACCTTGCGCTGGTATGTGAGGGCAAAGTAAGTTAATTAAAAACAAGCAAGTACAAAGGTTTGTATAATAGTACAAAGAATACGAAGAGATATAATTAAACTGTTTTACTGTTGCGGTTCGATACAGTGCGACTCGGGCAACTGCTCAATGTCGAGTCAGTTGTGTGTCCTTGCTGTCGCGCTGCATTTGTCAAGTCAAAGGTCGCTGACCTTTGACCTTCGCGTAACCTCCAGCGGTTACTTCAACCTCCTAGGGTTGACTCGCTGGTGCCTCGATATGCTCTGCTTCGCTTGTGCCTTGGTGTTTCGACACGACAGAGGCGCTTAAGATTGTTTGTTCCCAACACTCCCCTTCGCTTCTGGAGTGTCGCTGCTGGTGACGTGGCTTTGTCCAGTCAGCAGCATGTAGTACTCGAACTTCTGTTTTCCGAGCTTCTTGGTCAAGTAGTCAGCTGCCATCTCGGACGTGGGACAGTAGGATAGTCTCAGAATCCCAACCACTAGACCATTGGGATAAAAGGGCTTGTTTCAGTAGCGGGTCAGTGCGCCCATAACCCCCCAGGCAAATGTGCCTCTAACCCTTCCCTAGGATCGATCGGGGATCACCAGTGGACCTCTGACACTCCCCCGCACTGGGATGCCCGAAGTGCATACACCGGGATTCGAACCCGAGACCTTCGCTCTGGATACCATCTCAGAATCCCAACCACTAGACCATTGGGATAAAAGGGCTTGTTTCAGTAGCGGGTCAGTGCGCCCATAACCCCCCAGGCAAATGTGCCTGTAACCCTTCCCTAGGATCGATCGGGGATCACCAGTGGACCTCTGACAGATAGTTCAAGTCTCCCCTTCTCAATCTCGTCTTTCACGAAGAAGTATCGCAGAGCGATATGCTTCGTTCTGTTCGCGAATCCATTTCTGTTGGCGATGCGAATTGCAGATTGGTTGTCGCAGAACAGAGTGAAGTTGGGTAACTCGGCTAACTTCGCTTCTTCCAGCAGCTCGCGAAGATAGAGTCCTTCCTTGGTGGCTGAGCAGAGTGCAATATATTCTGCTTCAGCTGACGAGAGAGCAATTAGTTCCTCCTTGCTCGATTGCCAGGAGATCGGTCCGATAGGTTCGAGGCGGTAGATGTAGCCGGTGCGGGAGCGCATGTTATCGGAGTCGCCAGCGTGATCAGCGTCGACGTAGCCGATTAATTTAGTCGGTGTAGTTGTGTTCTTGTAGTAAGTTAGGCCGATCGTTGAGGTACTGACGAAGTAGTGGAGAGCGCGGTCGAGCTCCGCCATGTGTTGTGCTTCTGGCTTCTTGAGGTAGGTGGCGAGCTGGCTTGCGGATAATGAGAGGTCGGGGCGGCAGGTGACAGCTGCGAAGAGGAGGCATCCTAGCTTTCTCTGGTAGTCGCGTATCCCGGCGGATTTGAGTAGAGAGGATCCTTCCTTGTGGTTTTCTGTCGCGTAGCGGTAGGGCGTAGAGATGGTGGTAGGTATGAGCGCAAAGCGTTTGGCGATGGTGTCGGCATACTTAGCGGCGTTGAGGTAGATCGCGCATTCTTCTTCCCAAATGTTCAAGCCGAGGTACTGTGTAACAGTAGAGGAGACCGTGAGTGTGAGGTCCCTCTGTAACTCCCCTTCGAACCAGGTGGTGATGTCGTCAGTGGAGCCGATGTAGAGTAGGTCGTCTACGTAGACGATCAGCAGAATGTAGTCGGTGTCTTTAGTGAGTCGGTACATTCCTTGGTCGTGAGGTAGTTGGCGGAATCCGATGCGGATGAGGCGAGCGTGTAGGTGTTATTGCCATAGCCGCGGAGCTTGCTTGATCCCGTAAAGTGATTTCAGCAGTTGACAGACTTGATTAGGTTCCCCGTTGGTACCGAGTGGGAGCTCGACGAAGATTTCCGCATCGACAGGTGCGTAGAGGAATGCGTTGGCGACATCGATTTGCCGTAGCTTCCTTTTCTTCATGGCGGCGATCGCGAGGAGGATTCGAAGTGAGGTATGTCGGCTAACCGGGGCGAATGTCTCCGTGAAGTTCCGTCCGTGCTTCTGATCGAATCCACGCACAACCCAGCGTGCTTTGAACTTCGCAATTGTGCTGTCTGCTTTTGTTTTAACGTGGAAGACCCATTTCCCGGTGAGAATGGTCTTGTTCCTTGCCGCGGTGATGGGGACAACTTTCCAGGTGTTCCGTTCCTCCAGCGCCTTTAACTCTCTGTCCATGGTTTCACGCCATTTTTCCCTGTGTTCCCCCCCCAGAGCCTGCTGAACCGTCGCAGGCTCCTTAGCAAGAGTGTTGCCGTGGACTGCGGTGACGAGTCAGAGAATCTGCAGTCCAGTCTGTGAGTAGCAGGGAAGAGTTGCATCCTCGGGATAAGCTGCTTCATCTCCCGCTTCTGGATCAGGTATGAAATTCGGTCCTACTCGTTCTGCTTCGTTGGTGTTGACTGTCGCAGTTGTTACGTAACCGTTGTCGGCGAAGTAGTAGAAGGTTTCGGCGTTGACACTTTCGCGAGGGTTGTCTTCGACGGAGCAGAACGGAAGGGGTCCAGCTTCTTCTGATGCGTTGGCCACATTCTGCTCGTCCCAGTCAGCTTCGTCCGCTGTTGAGGCGAAGGCTCGGTCACCACGAGAACCACCTGTGGGATCTTGGTCCTCTTGCAGTTTGGCAAGGTATGTCTGGAGCGTGAGTCGTTCGTAGAAAATGACGTCGCGTGCTGCTACTGTTTCCTTGGAGTGGACGTCAAAGAGTTTCCACGCGTTGTAGTTCTTTTCGATGCCGAGGTGTAGTCCCCACTGTGCGCGTTGTGAAAATCGGCCCGCTCGTGCTGCTGGGGGTCGGTACTGTACCATGCATCCGAACACTCGTAACATTTTTGTGCTGCCCTGTTTCCCTGTCCATAGCAGATGCGGTGATGCGTTGTTCGGAAGCGATGATGACGACAGCAAGTTGTGCAGCATGACGACGTGGTCCATTGCTGCAGGCCACTGGTGGTTGGGTAGCCGCAGGCCACGTAACAGTTTGCGCATGCTGTTATGCAGAGTCCTGTTCATTCTTTCTGCTACACCTTGCTGCTGATGGGCGTAGGGAAGAGAGAGGAGCTGCTTGATCCCCCTTTCCGCCAGGTACTGCTTGAATCGCTGAGAGGTGTATTCTCCTCCTCCGTCAGACTGGAAGCTTTTCAGCTTTACGCCCGACTCTCTTTCTGCTACTGGTAGCCAAGCAGCGAATGCTTCGAGGACCATGTCGCGGCTGGGTAGGTTTAGATGCCAGATGTAACGGGTGGCGGCGTCGATGAAGGTGATTGTGTAGTTGTATATTACTTGTCCTGGTTCCCGATTGTACAGGATGTCGCTATACACCTTTTCGAGTGGTGCGTACGTGGGTGCGCTCGGGTTGTGATGAGGAGTGAACGGCTGATGTGGTAAGTCGGCTTCGGGGCAGGTAAGACATGTTCCTCGTGCCCGTTGAAGTTCTCTGCCGTCGAGTAGTAGTAACGAGTCCTTGTCAAGGTCTCCTGCTCTTATTGTGTTGTTTAACACAGTGTTGCTTGGGTGTCCCATGCGTGCGTGCCAGATGTCTTCGGAGGCGCGGTGTCCGGGTGAGCGTCGATACGCGTCGGAGTTGGAGTAGAAGCTGGCGGTGAAGTTTACGCTTCTATGGAATTCCCGTTGAGCCGGATTCAGCTGCTGTGCGGGTGTTGGTGGTGCTTCGTCAATGAGGACTAGTTTCATTGTTGTTGCTGCTGTTGTTGTTCCTGCTACTGCCGATGATGTCTCTGCTGCTGCCGATGTTGTCTCTGCTGCTGCCGATGTTGTCTCTGCTGCTGCCGATGTTGTAACTGCTGCTGATGATGTTGTCTCTGCTGCTGCCGATGTTGTCTCTGCTGCTGCCGATGTTGTCTCTGCTGCTGCCGAATGTTGTAATGTTACTAACGCACGTGTTCGTTCTGCTTCAGGAATGGTATGTGAATACCAAAAGCCTTCCGGACTGAAGTCGGGGTCGAGATCCGGCGGGTGCGTCCAAGATGTGAAGGTGACGATCCCGTCACTGTCTGCGGTGCCCAGGTCTGGGACGAAATCGAGAACGAAGACATTGTTCTTCAGGACCGCCTTTCCGATGTAG